GTTCATATGTAAAAAGGTTGCTCCATAGGCTGTGCCAAATTTGGCGGCGCTGCGCGCCGCCGTTTTTACGCTATCTTCGAAAAACCTTAGGGGGGGGGGTCACATCGACCCCCCCCTGCCAGGGCGAGGGCTAGTATTCCATATAAACAAGTTTGGGCGCGAATTATTTCAAGTGCGCATGTGAGCTCGCCGAGACACATGCAAAACTTCTCATAGCTATCCAGGTCCCTATAGTTTGTAGGAAGGTAAACATTGATTAGAGACACGTTGAGAACCTTAACTGCAAGCGATGGTTGAAGAACCTTTCTCCACAAAATAGCTACCCCACCAAATGGTCTGCCATACAATAGACCATTACCAGAGTCGAAGGAGGTAGTTCCTAGACCGCTGAAATGTTCATGAACGTTATTCAACGTATGCAATTCGAACTTTGCAAGCCATGTTTCCTGAAGAAACACAATGTCGTAGCTGTCACAAATAGTTCGAAGCTCAGAGGAAGACGATTTTAGGGACTGGCAGTTGAATGAGCATACTCTTAGCATAGAGGATGCATCTATCTAGTGACATGAGCTGTTATGCGATCTACACTAGCACTCCTAGCCATCGGTTTGCCCTGATGAAGCTGTCGATCCTCAGTTTGATCTGCAGCTTTAGCTTCCTTGGGATGGTAAAACCTTTTGATTGATACATGAGAAGGCCATTTATCTGGGATCATGACACGATCCTTAGAATCAAGGGGTATGGTTACTTTGTACCCCTTGTACCCGTACTTCTCAGCACAGTGAGCGATCTCAGTGATCTCAGTGACGACCGATTTGTCCGCGCCCGGGCCCAGCAGCCAGTTCACATGTGATCGGACTGCCTCACATGCGTGGTGCTCGTGTGGAGGCGACCAACGAAGAGATGTGCTACTCGAGGTGGTGGTGCGACGCCTCTCAGCAGCGTCGAGGAGCTTACCCCAGTAATCACAGCCTTACTGCGACTGGAAGGCCTCTTCCGTCGGATGACCTCGGTAAAGCCGTCATTGTCGGTGTTGGCAGCCCGAAGTTCAGGCTGTGCGGTCGTCTGCGACATCGGCCGTGAAGATCCCGAAGCTGTTTCTTGCTGAATGTGCAGCTGACGGGAGCGATCCTCGCGCTCTTCTCCATCTTGGTGCGGTGTCATGTCTGATGACGATGGCTGCTGAGTCCCCGGTCTTGGAGAGGGCCGCTCCAGGGTCGGCGATGGCACTGGTGGCCGTGCCAAGGTAGCGGATGATGACGGCGCCGCCGGAGCGGATGACGTGCCGGCAGCTTGGGCGTACGTCAGAGGCGGAGTGGACATGGCCGGCTGCGTTTGCAATTCCAGCATCGCCTGCTTTAGGCCTTTCATCTCGTTTTGCATCTGGGCAAATTGTCCAAGAAGAACGGACATGTCTACATGCTCAGGTGAGGCCGGTGGGATTTCTAGCAATTTATTGCATCCTGGCCTATCTATTCATGTTGGTATTTTTGTGGTGACATTGCAAATTCATGTGCTACTAAATACCTATCATGTAGATTTGGAGCATCTCAAATCAAATCTATGTCTAAGGATATAGATTTGGTATAAGTTCAAACCACTCTCTGCCAATTCAATTTCCCAGTTCTATCCTACAAGCCATCGTGGACAGCACACAAGCGTAAACAACATTCGATGTCGGTTTGACACTATCATAATTCGCTCACTGTCACCAGCGTTTACAGCGATAGCCAAACACTCTTATCGCCTGCGTTTCAAACTCAAATCGAGCCTAATGACCCGTTCATATTGTTGATAAAGGCGAGGCTAACGTTCTGTTCACGCTGTGACACTAATAAGTCGACTGAATCTGACAGAAACGAAACGCCTGCCAAATTCCAGAGATACCGTCGGCAGCCGCCGCGCACCCGGTGACGTCAGATATACACCAGTGACGTCATCTGTGTTTCGCCGCCGGCGGAGCGGCGGGGAGGGGGAGGGGGGACTCACTGGTCGGTGTTAAATGGGGTGGAAAGTTGTGAACGATGTCAGCTTCAGTGTGTTTCATTTACGGAACTTATCCTGTGATCTGAGGGCTAGGTCTTATACTCGTATGATTTACGAAGGACTCAATTCGGTTACACATTTTTCTACTAGGTATAGCTTAGATAGGTACACGAATCAGGGAAGGGAAGACGGCATGACATGCTCAATTCAAAAATATTTGGGTACAATTAACGGGCTTCTCGGGGTTGTGCGTTATGCGAAGATATTTGAACTAACTACTTCTTAATCATGAACAGATCAACTTAAATATTAATTCTATTACAAGCTTTATACAAACACATCCGGTATGTCATTGTCGGCTCGACTGTCCCTTTTTTCGTGGTGACACACAAATGTCTCAGGTATGTGATTGAATGCAAGACTGACTTGAATTAGCTGTCGGGGTGGCTGATGTGACCTGAAAATCAGACTGACAACATTTAACATGATTTGCCTATGCCAGCTTCCACGGAGTACTGAGAATAAATTATTCCTTATCTAAAACTTTCATGCACGGCTCTCCGGATATGATGTTGCTCGTTGGCTGTGATTTCAACGGACATCCTGAAACTGACATGAACTGATGTGAACTGATGTGAACTGGCGTGAATGGATGAATTATGAGCTTAAAGAGCATCAACGTCATGCCCAACACACGAACTACGCAGATAACCCCTTCTGATAAACCCCACTTCCCCGTGTAAGACTCCTGTCTCCCGCAAATGAGTCGGCAGTACAATCAACAGTGTGAAGATGGCATACGTGCTAAAATGTTGTTCCTTATTACATTGGAAATTTACGTCATTTCTACGCGTCTTTTCGAACGAGAGAAAGGCTGTGTATTTTTCAGCAAGGCAAGCATTCTTGAAAGGACACCATCAAAAGACGTTCAGAAATGACAACAGTTCTACAACACGTGTCAACACCAGAAACAGCTGAAAGCTCGTGCTCTTGACGTGAATAGAGCCTCTCTGTCCACCGTTGAGGACTGAGGAGTTAACAACGTGCGATGAGAATTGTCTGCAATAGTGTCCACATTCGGGCTCATTTCAGACTCGAAATTTCCGCACTGGAGATGTCAACCTGTCTGCAGTTAACGTGGCGTGGCTGGATGGATGAAGCTGACAACGCATCGCCGATAGGGATATTAAAAATGTCATTCGGATGTCTATTTTTTTTTTCTAGCGCTTCTTTATTGGTGTTTGGTATTTCAGCGTCGCATTTTGGAACACGTATATTATCGGTTTCAGTGGTTTATTTGGTAACACTTATGCAATATAATCAGCGTTTATTCATTGGATCAGTTCGATCTGATTTTGATATTTCCCCGTCTTTGTGGTCGGTTAGAATTGGTTGCGGCGTTTTTGATGCCCCAAAATCCAAAAATTATCCTTGACTATCAGGAAATTCTGACATTCCATTTCCGGAGCAGAAATGGAGCAATGTCCTGATCTACTATACCGATGGACAGCTGAGAGGCGTAACGACATTTTGCTATTCCAAATCACAAAACACCTGCAGTAAAAAAAGAAGCATTTTCAATAGTAGTGATGCTAAGGCGTTGTCGATTCAATATATTGATAGATCTTAGTGACCAAAACTCACAAATTGAATAGTTCGCAGATCGTAATTGTATGTCAGAGTGTACTCAAAAAGTCAAAAGCGTTTTGATTGTTGAAGGTGGAGTGAAAATTACTCTGTCATTCAAAATAAAAACGCCACTGAAACTGCTTTCAATGCAGATACTTAGCTAAACTCACGTGCTAATTCCAGTTCAGTTTTCTTTCTTATGAGTGAGCAAAATTGAGTCCGGAAAGTTTCAATGCTATTGCTGCATCCTGATCAATGTGGCATTCTCCCTCCGTTTCCCGTCCCTTTTTGTTCCTCTATTTTCTTTTGTTCCGAAAGAAAAACGAAGCCAATGTGTCTCGTTCATTTGCGTCCGTGATGACAAATGTGTCGACAGCTGCAATTGTTTTGAAAGTGTACGGTAATAAATGGGTTTCAGTTTGCATAATACTGTCAAAAAGCCTTAAATTTGGAGCATATGCGCGACACCATGTCGTTCATTGGTTTCAAATGATGCGTGCAATAGCCAATATGTGTGATCACTATATAGGGCCTAGTGTATAGGATCTGTGTTTATGAATAAATGTCGGTAAGATATTAGGCTTCTTCAATCCTGCAACTTTTAGTAAGAATCCTGTAAAGGGCGCGTGCTTTGGCAGAAGCTCTACTTTCACACAGCAAGATATCATCTAAAGGTGGTAACGTTTGGTGAAAGTCTTCGTCCTTCGATCATCGTACTTCGTCTTTGATCGTCATTGATTTTCATTGTTGTCCTTCTTTTGATCACACCTTCAAAGTGATGTGACAACATTTCAAAGTTGCTGCATTGCCAATTCTCTTATCGTTCGACATATGCCTTAATACATTCTTCCGACAAGTATTCCTTGCCGACACATTGTACGGGAGTTGATGAAACTTTAAGCGTTTTGTAAATATCTTGAGAACCGTGAAAATATGGCTGGAAATTGACCAAATTTGACGTTGTTCATTCCTCACGATTTAAGCCTGCTTTTATTCCAGAATGATGGAAATCGACACATATCAGCGTGTTGTACGAGGCCTAGTGAGATGGTCTCGCTGGCCTAGTGAGACCAGCGATCGACCGGAAGCCGAAAAATGCAAATAATTATCTGACTACTGGAGGCGGATGCCTAGTGTGAGGGGATGGTGGGTGGGATGGGATGTGAGGAACTTGTGACTGTACTGCATGTACCTCTGTTGGTGCGAAGTATATGGCAATATTATTATATTATTAATATTATATCAATCGATAGGACCTAAGGTGTTCAAGCTTTCAAGAACTGCTATCTTTCGTGACCTGGCAGAGTTCAAATCGCACCCATGAATAACACCCCAGCTTTCCTCATAAAACGCCTCAGCCTTGCTCTCCAAGCCAGAAAGTCTAGCTCTGGCTTACCACCGAGATTGTATTCAGTCTCTGCCACAACGAGGAGCCACGGCGAACGGGGAGCGAGATCTCACACAGACTTTTCCCAAAATCAACAGCGAGACAGCGAGACGACCGACACCAACGGGGCGCGAGACATTGGGCGAGACGAGGTACAGGACATCAGGCTAGACTGGGCAGAACATGTCCCTCTCGAGATGCGAATCACGCGTCAAAGAAGCGGCAAGACGAGGCACATAAAACACTGAGTCTAAAAAGCTGACATACAAACGATCATGCTACAAAAAATTGGCCGACGATTTTACGCAGCTGAGTTAGTCGCGCGGTCAAGAAAGCATTTCGTGAGCCTAAGTGTGGTTGTTTTAATAGTTAACGGCGCAAAACATCATTGAAAATGAACTATCATAGCGACTAAGTCACTAAGCCAGGTAATGACTGTACACGAACTGTGAATGACTTAATGATTGTACACTAAGAACAATTCAAAAACACTGATTTTCCCCAAATATAAGCAGACACCCGACACAAAGCAGCCGACGGCGACGTGGATAAAATTTTGCAAACACACATGCTTAGCGAACAATTTGAGAATGCTAAGAGCACATACAGACACCCGACACAACAATTCTCGAACAGCTGATGAGCAAACATCACAATGACATAGTTGACATCAAATGACATTGACGATTGACATTTTGACACTATGAAATTCGTCTCCATTCCCCATTTTTACCTCCTAGAGTACGTACATTTCGACAAGATACTGACAAGACTAGGGCACCGCTTTCTAGTGAGAATCTTGTCACAACTCACATTTCATTACAAACATTTTACACAAGCATATGAGTTGGACAGGACAAAGCGCTTTGGACTCCCGCATAGACGCAGGTAAGACTTTTGTGACGTACCAATAAGTTTTCATCATTCATCTCAGTCACAGCACTAAAGCACAAACATAAAACAAAAACCTTCCGCATTAATTTCCGACCCGTTGCAACTTTGATAAGATGGTATGAATTGCAAGGAGCTTTACGAATGAATGCCATTTCGCCTTTATGAACAAAAAGTGAGGTTTTGACTACACGTGAAGTGTTCTATAGTTTTATCACCTGAATGATATTATCAGCCATGCTCGCTTACTGCAATACGTGCTTCAGTGAAAACACCAAAAAACATGAGAAGGCATAGTTATAAAACTAAAAGTTAGGATAAATGTTTGGACCTTTTCCACATCGGGGTAAACGTTTCGAAGCTCTTGTCTTCATCAGAAATCTTATCAGAAATCGGGAAGATCAGGCCGCGTTACGATCTCAGCCTCGTTAACCGCTCTTCTGACAAAACTTTCACAATACACTACATTCATTCACACAGCCAATAAACAGCCCAATCATTCAGACCTGCTGAGAAAAGCGGCACAGCTTGGGTGATATTTATCTACCGAAATCTCCCCATGGCCACGGCGTGTGACCTTTCGCTAGATAAAAAGCACGACTTTCCAGTGACGATGGAATGAACCCAAAGTGTCGCTTTTCTCAGCAGGACTTTAGTCTTCGCAGCTTTCGAGTCAACAACAAACGGAACCGCCGCATTTTACGCGCGAGCAGAAGTAATAAATTAGTCGTGAGTAGCAAATAGATATGTGATTGTGTTCTTGATGCAATGAGCGAGAGAAGTTGAGGGAATTCTTTTAGATTTTGTCACTTCAGCTTTTTTTGTTAATTTGCCATGTCATGTACGCACACTGTCGTTCAAAGCCTGTCGCCTTATGTTTGGGATTTTTTTCGTTTGAATAGCAGAAAATTACCTGTTATATCCTATAAAGATGACTGTAAGTCTAAATCAACTTTGCCTTGTTTTTGAAAGGTGCGCTGCCACTTTCGATGACATAGGAGGGATTAAACACAACATCACGCATCTAACAAGCCAATTAGACAAACATACCCAGCCACACAAACACACTCAATAATACACTATCGCATTCACAAGAGCCTCATTACAATAGCGACATCTTACAGCGAGTTTTACAAACGCGCTACCCCTCGTCCCATTTTGAAATACTGCTCCAATTAGTCGAGAAAAACACGTGCATTTGTGTCACGCAACCCGCCGGAATGGCAGGTGGGCTCCATTTCTCACTGTCTAAGAGAGACACCGAACACCACACGACACGAGTGATCACGTGACTTTGGGCCGTGGCTCCTCCATCGTTCGCTGCCAGCCGTGTTGACAGGACGGCATGTCACGTGACACCAAGATCTAACCGAAGTGGTAGCGAGGCCCCGACGAGAGTCCCACGCACGAAATTGATTTACATTTGGAATAGCCATCATTCTACGACGCCAATGATGTCGTAGATTCGAATTACGTCATCACACGTCACCAAGGTCTGTGATATTCACCGCCTCGTAAATCTTTTACAGCGAGCCCCGCATCTTCATCCAGCTTGCCAAACTGTTTCGCTTGTCTATAAAAAGACGACCGAAACAACAACCTTGCACTATGCCTGTCAGAAATCAATGCAGTACGCAGGTAGTGATTATCTCATATAATCTCACTGAATTTCTGCTCCAATGATCTTTAGTCAACCTTTGGCCTCTACAATTACATTACAGAATACCCTTCCCACATTTTCGACACACGTAAACATTTAACATTAACCGACGGCCTACGTTTCACACACTGCGGTAAGCTCAATCTCATGATCCCTCCGAGATTCTGCCCCACTCTGTCCAAATGTCTGACGACCCGTATCTAAATGCCACTTTCAGATCTGTTGATCCTCGCTGTCGTTTTCTTCTGCACGTATCCGCCACTGAGACCCGAGTTGAGGTTCCTACATCGTAGCACTGGTGTGTGCTAATGTTTAACGTGACCTTTTACTGCTGTGCTGTCTTGGCGTCCACTGACTATACAAGCCACAATGGCCGAAGCGAAGTTCTGCGCAGCTAAGGTTCGGTTACGCGACACTACCAAGCACTGTTGTTCACCACAGGGTTCTTGGGTACGCACTGAACCATCTCCTGATGCTTTTCACGATCAAGTCCTAATCTCGGGTACGGAAGACGTCCCTGATGTCCGTCACGGTTAACTCCCAATGTCCGGCAGTTAACTCCTAGTTTCAATCACGGCTAGGTCATGATGTCAGGCAGGATAGCGTCCACGTGCTTTGTGTAGTCCACACGGCTAGGCACCGCTGCTCAGAGTATTCAAGTCCTGATGGCAAGCACATAACCGTCTACACGTGGAGCGCCGGCTGGACCCTAATGTTCAGGGTTTCAAGTCCTAGTAGTGGCAACCATTTTGAAGTCCTAACGTGCAGCGCAGTTGGGCCCACCGTTCAGGTCATTCAGTTTCTAAGTTCAGCACAGTTAACTTTTGATATTTAGCACGGCGAATTCTTGCTGTTCATCACGGTTAATCCTTGCTGTCAAGTTCGGTTTACTTTTGCTTCTCAGCATGGTAACATACTCAACACCGCCAACTCATGATCTTTAAATCCTGGTAGTAACCACAGTTTTACCTCGCTCACTCTGTTGTACCACGTGGCCGTTGAGATGTTTTAGCCGGCGTAATGTGCTATTACCGGCACGGAAAGTATCTGGAAAAAGAAGGCATAGTTTAGAGAGAAGATACTGAAGGTAAGATACGACAGATACTACAGAGTTTCTGCTGCTAGCTCGGGCTGTAATGGAAACAGAAGTGAATAGGCAATGGTCACAGTTCAGATATAAGATACTACATACTTAGCATCTTATCTAAGATAAGATAAGATACTACATATACTACAGATGCTCTACCAGCCCGGAACTTTGCCTGAAATAGGAGTCTACCATTATATGCAGATACTACAGATACATTGGAGTGCTGCTGCCGCTATCCCGGAGCCTATTTTGGAAAGCATCTGAAAGAAGAGTACAAGCTACATAGCTTAGGACAGAAACTGAAGAAATAATCTACAGACACTCGACAGTGCTACTTCTAGCCTGGAAAGTATCTGAAACAAAAGTACACAATTCATAGCTTAGAGAGGACGATGAAAAAAGATACTACAGATACTGGAGATTCATGTTGCTAGTCAAGAGAGCATCTGGGACAACCATTCACAACCTGTGGTGACGGTGTACACAAGATGGGCTAAACAAATCTGACAGAAACACTAGATTAGTCAGATACATCAGATACAACTTATACAACAGATTCGCTAGGGGATTGATTAGTAAGATAGGTACCCAAGATTCACACGGGGTGAGCACAATAAGTCGACAGATACATTAGATGCTCGTGAGAATCGTGGACACAAACAATGCATGGTTTGTGCAGAAGATGTTCATGGTAAGGCCTAACTGAGAGGTAATGAGTAAATCTAAAAATATCTATAATATATGCGACAGAATAGGAGGCAAGAACAATTTCGGAAAGGATTCGATTTAGGGTAAGTTTTTTGCATAAGTGCAAAGGTATTTCTCAGCCTAACGATGTTTTTATCTAAAAATCAAATATACCATTTGACGCACACATTGAGCTCCGGTAAAAATAAACTGATCATTATATATCCACGGCATAGATAAAATACCATCAATTCCTCGGCTTCCTAACTACAAATAACGTAGGTATCCTAAACTAAGTAATGCATTTCTACATTTCAGCTTTCATGGAAAAGGATATAATTCTATCTTCGTATCACTTATCTTTCTCAACAGATAAGCAATAACCAAATGCTGTTCCCAATATTCACTTCTAGCTCCTACTCGAGGCCAAATGTTTGATCAGTAGCGGCTCCTCTCCTCCCTCTCACTCTCCCTTCCCCCTCCCTCTCCCCAACGCATCACTGCAAGTGATAGGCAGTCAATCAACCCTGTCTCACCCTCCCTCTCTTACCCTCCCCTCCCCTATCTCCTCGTCTGACGGCGGAGAGAGCACTTCATCTTTGTTTACCAGACCTCCGCCGGCAGCAAGTCGGTCTTCATTGACGTGAGGGGAGAGTGAAGGAGAGGGTGGGAGAGAGAAAGATTGGGTGTGAGGAAGAGAGGGAGGGAGGGAGGGAGGGAGGGAGGTAGGGAGAGAGAGAGAGAGAGAGAGAGAGAGAGAGAGAGAGAGGGAGAGAGAGAGAGAGAGAGAGAGAGAGAGAGAGAGAGAGAGAGAGAGAGAGAGAGGGGGGAAGAGAAATCAAGGAGATGGAGAGCAGAAAAAAAAATATAAGACGGCAACTCCATATTCCAATCACTCCCCATGGTGACGTCACAAGTGCTGACGTCAGAGAGGGGAGTAAGAAGCGATGTAGGCCAATACACGGTAATGGCGGTGATTGATTCAGGCATGGGAATAGAAATCGGCATCATGGGGACATCCATGGAATCGGCAGAAAAACAACCGACAACGCTGATTGATTATTGAGCTTAAATGAAGTAAAATTTGCGCGTGATTTTTGCTTAATGCAAAAAAGACATCAATTTTGCAAGTTTTGCAAAAAAAATGTAGCTTAACTTTTTTACCTGCAAATGGCAAAGTTCCATCTCTATTCAGCACTCACCACCGCCCGTCAACATATCACGTGACATAACACACCAACCCACCCTCCAGTCACATGATATCAACCTGTATCACGTCACCACACAATTTACATCTCAACGCGCACCGTCGGGGCTACTTCAGGGTAGTGTTTTTGCTCCCGTTGTTTTCGGAACGGCGCGTCTCTGGTTAGGGCAGGCCGTTAATTTCACAGATTTAGACGCGGCAGCTGGTAGATATAAGACAGCCGCTGGACTGGGTCCAGGAATTAAAATCAACGCCGGAGGCTCTGTTTTCTGTTGGATAATGGCTTCAGTGAGATTGAGTTCTGCAACAGAGAGTGAATTGAAATGAAATCAAATGGCTTAATCGTTTGCTGTTGTTGGCTTAGCTGAGTTTGTGCGGTCTTAGCCAGGCACAAATGATGATTGTTTAAATATTTTATTGTGATGCAGCATAAGGCTTCCGTGTTTGTAGCGCGAATAAAATTCGAAGGGCTTAGAATGACTTATAATAGATGCATGTGTTTTAGTAATAGGTTTGGAATTTGTAAGAGCGATGAAACGGGCAACAGAATCAATAAGCAAAAACACACAAACAAAAAACCACATAAAGTCATGCAACAGTAGTCCCAATAGGTAACAGTAGGTTTATCGAGATCTCTGTGCAATGCACATGCAAAATAAGCCCGCATTAAAATGTTAGTCACAATTAACACGCGCACCGACGGGGGGGGGGCGGATATCCGCCCCCCCTGATGTTTTTCGCGGATAGCGTGAAAACCGCGGCGCGTAGCGCCGCGAAATTTGGTACGACTATTCTCTCATCAATTTTACACATGGTGTGCAATTTTGAACCTCCTAACTCTCAAGGTCAGGTCACCAGGTCACTTTGAATGACCCAACCTCAAGTCACTTTTTTGCAACTTTGTCACCGTGCCAGAGCTACATTAGATGTCGGAGGCCTTTGAAAGTCGCAGGATGTTATTAGGTCATTAGTAGCTACAATTTGTATATCCCGGAATTTTGATGTCGGTGACCTAAGGTCAGGTCAATTTCGCGACCTCCCCATTATAAGTCAATGGGGGAAAAATCAACTCCCTGTTTTTACCACTAAAACGGGTCGGAATGGCCCCATATACCATACATGACTTCATATACGATCAACCTTCACTACCTTGAGGTCTGTTTTGCTGTTGGGCAGCTGTAAGGTCATGTGACGTCATCAAAGGTCACCAAAGGTTTTTTGCCAATAACTCCGTACAGGAACAAGATACAGCCGCGCGGATGGTCTCATTGTGTTCAGCTCGTTAAGACGCATCGAATGATATACATGATGACCTCGAGGTCACGTGACCTGAGGTCAACCTTTGACCTTGACCTTTCGAGGTCAACATATATATCATTCGATGCGGATTGACGAGAGGATCACGATGATGCCCTTAGTTTGTTCCTATCTTGACTAATTCGAAAGTTATTCGAGAAAAACTCCATATCTAGCGCCGCCATTTTGACTTTTTCGACCCCTGTGACGTCATCTTTGACCTGACCTGAAAATGACCCTTATAAAAATTGTAGACCTTGTCCGTGCGTATCCGATGCCGTTTACCGCTTGTCGCTATCTTGCTTCGTTCTCGAGATCTCAGGGGGGGGGGGGGGGGCGGTCATCCGCCCCCCCCCCCCGTCGGTGCGAAGTTGGCGCAGACCCCCGTCGGTGCGCGGGTTAAAACTATTTCTGAGAAAAGCTTGCACTCTCAGCGATGTTTACGGCTATATTATCATAACATTCCCTATTTGATTGCGCTGCAAGCTCGTTCATAAGGTTCAACTGTGTCTTTGAAATTCAATAACTGCCAATTACGGCATAGAGCTATTGAATAAAGCATGCGCATCGTCACAGTAGATAATAACTGACATTTACAATTGAAGATGTGTGTTGAAAGTGCTTTTTAGACGTCATGCTCAGTCTCAGCGAATAGGTATATGATGAGTAGCATGCTTTTCGTCCGTTAGTAATAAAAGCGTATTTGAATCCACAGACACCAACTTTGATGGCTATTTTTTGTTATGTATCTATTGCTATGTCTAAGCCCCATATGTTCCGTGCTGTCGCCCTAACTATAGGTAAGGCTTTACCTCCAAGCAAGAGGCATCCCCTTAGGTCTTTCGCCACTGACTCGACTTTAGTCGCTTGCCGCCCGAGTCTTCCCCTCAAGCAAGAGATATCCCCCTGGCCCCAAGCCCGCGCTAGGTTCTACCTAAAACGATACCCGGGCTTCCTATCTCTAAAAGGTGTCCCCCTAGGTCCGATACTAGGTCCTACCTGAAATGATGCTCGCGCGTGTCTCTCTCGTGTTCAGATGTACGTTTTCGATGTGGCATTGGGACGCGACAGACTCGACGTTAGAGTCCCTCTCGTGGCCGTCATCCGTCCATAGGGCTGCAGTTGGAACCCTGCGGACACGGACACGGATGACGGCAGTGACTCAGAGGTCCGCGGTTCGAATCCTGGCGGCGGCAACTTTTTTTTAGCGGGGAAGGTTAGATAAATTTTAGATACGAATGAAAACTAGATATTGCATGTGATCATGGGAGCACAATTTCTTGTATGAATAAAGCAATATTTTCACTAGTTTTCTACCTCAAACAAAGACGCAGGCTGACTATCCGGTCATATGTGTTTCAGAGTCAGACCGAACAAAAGCTCTTGAGCCTATCGTAGCCTTGTGTAGCTTAGTGCGGTAACCTGGGGCTTAATTTGTATGATTCATGATTTTGAAACGGCACTGTATTCCTTTCAACCACTCTGATTTCGCCTCCCCCCCGCCTACAAACACAACCTGTTTTGCTTCACCACACCACCTCATGTCACCATCTCCCTCGCGTAAAAATGCATCTGTTCTACCCTGAAGTGTATTTCTCGCTCGAACCTCCGCAGCCTGCCCTATGACACAAGCGGCCCTCTAAGCATACGGCCTTGCTCTAAGCCTTATCATGACTGGGAATCCCAGCACTATACAGAGCATTGGGATTCCACCACCACACGCTCAATTACACAACGTTGATTTCCGGGCAGACAACCAAAACCAGCACGTGCCTAGAATCGGCGGCTCCACTGGCTTGCAGGCGAGTCGATACCATTAAGCCATGCCATTAATTCGGCGATGGTCACGTTGCCCGACAGCAGAGCGAAGTTTTCCGTATGGTTGAGGGCGCCGACCGGGCGAAAACCTTGCCGAAGGCTGAGGTCAAAGTTAACGACGCTGATGCTTGCGTGCGCTCCTGAGATAGTATCCCATATAAATGATCAAAGTAAATGCACATTACAAAGCCAGATGCGCAGATGGTCAATGCCCTAGGGCTGAGGTCAAGGTCATTGGTATTGATGCTTGCGTTCCGGAGATGCACCATTTAAAGGGACTATCCCACCTTTAACATGGGGTTTGAGTTGAGATAGCGAAGTTTGCGGCGAGGTTCAGAAACCACCATCTATCTAGGTTGCAACCCCCGCGGCCTCTTGGTGTTGAAGAAATTTGTTCCCTTCATTTGAAAATGGGCCTTGTACAAGGCCCATCTTCAACATGGAGCGACCGTTAGTGTGACGTCACCTTGTTTAGTCATTCTGATTTAAATGGGTTCGTTCGTTGAAAAATCGCTTAAAACTTGGTCTGAACTTTGTTGTGGTGCCTACAGAGTAAAAAGAATCAGCTTTATGACAGTAATGTGGCCTGGGGAAGGAGGTAATTTTGGCCTGTGACGTCACATATTTGAAAGTTTGTGTTTGGAATATGGGAAGCCTAAGATGTTTAACCCGCGCCCCAGTGGCGGTCTCAGCCAACTTCGCCCTAGTGGGGGGGGGGGGGGGGGCATATGTTACCACCCACCTCTAACTCAAAAACTAAGAGGGATAGAAAGACGCGGTAAAAAGCAGTCGATAGCTCTCAATGCGTACGTTTGAAAGTATTTCAGTCATTTTTCATCTTAGAGCAATATTGGGGTCACCAGAGGTCATCAAAGGTCAAAATTTGCCAATGGTCATTATATTTTTCAGAAAACATGCCGTTATCTCAGGAACTATGGTAGCTAGAAAAACGCATGAAACAGCAATCGATAGCTTTTGAACTCTTCTTTTGATAAGGACATTATCAAAATTGACCTCAGGTCAACGGTTTAGCCTCCAGAGGGCAAAAACTCCAAAAATAGCTGTTTTTACGAAAAGTGTTTTTCGACAATAACTTTCGACTACAAAAAGCCACAACATTTCTACTGCCAGAATCGTGTTCCTCTCGCCGAGACGCGTCGAATGAACTATGATTTGACCTTGAAAGGTCAACTTCAGAATTTGACCTCAGGTCAAGGTCATGACCTTACCGGAAAAGGTCATGTTGCATATCAGTCGATGCGTCTCGGCAAGACAAACACAATGAGACCATCCCCAGCGTTCTATCTCTTTCCAATCTCGAGTTATTGGCAAAAAACTGTTTGTAGCCTCAAATGACCTCGGATGACCTTTCTAGAGGCTATCAGCAAAAATGACACCTTGGTCATCACGGGTGGTCCAAATCGTTGTGATTCTGAAATATTTGGACTGTTCCTATGCGTACACACGGATCTAGAGGCATTTTCATTTTTCTCCATTGACTTGTAATGGAAAGGTCACGCCACTGACCTGACCTTAGGTCACGGATATAAAAAATCTGAGATATAAAAATTGTAGGCGCCCATAACATCATGCAATCCACCAAGTTTAAAACCTTTTCGACAAACACTGCAGGCTGGACATGATTGCAAACTTTTTTTTAGGCTTGGTCAGTTAACTTGACCTGGTGACCTGACCTGACATGACCTGGGGTCAAAAATTTTACACATTGTCCAAAATTGATGTACCAAAAGCTATCCCAAGCGGCGCAGCGCTACGCGCCGCGGTTTTTTATTTACACGCAAAAAACGCGACAGGGTGGTAACATATGCCCCCCCCCCACTGGGGCGAAGGTTAATGAAAAATAAATGCCAGAACCGTGTTCCAGGTCATCCAATCTATAAAGTCGGGCACAATTTAACTGGTTTTAACAACATTTTAGAAGGTGGGATAGTCCCTTTAACCCTGATGCGTGAACGAAGCAAATGCGTAATAAAGCGAGGCTAAGCAGATGATAAATGCAAAATATGTCTGTAAAGCGTAATCACATTCTCATGTATTTGAAGGGTAACTGTATTGTACCAACAGCTGAATCTGCAAAAATTCACATATTGAAATAAGCAGTAGTGCAGAGGCTTATTCAAGATCGATGCAAGCAGCTTAGGAAAACTGTTGTCGCATAAAACAAGGCGCTGAGAATGAAGATGACTTATTTGCTGAGGATGAATGCAATTATCTTTTATACCAGCATATTATTTTCTATCTTTTCAATTCCCGGCATATACTTAGTTATTTCAAAGTCACTTCAGGGATTTGCTAAAAAAATAATAATCCATAGACAAGACAACTCGTTTCCAGGTTTTCTCGTATCGATTTTATATAGAGTTGAGGAAATCTTCTACAGCAGTAAACTACAATGCCCATCGTCATCAATTTCTTCCAGCTTTGGTCCCACGAAACAGGGAGATTACACCGGCTTAACTCGAATTAAACACCATGGCAACAGATAATGCTCCTAGTGGAACCCTTCCAGGAAACGACGACACTTATAAGAAAAACATGAACGGCTGAAATCCATCCACTCAAGCTGTAATCTTCGAATAAGCGAGAGTAATAGATGCTTCACAGCTGCAACACTTAGCTGGGCAGGCCACTGTGCATTCTTAGAAGATAATTTAAATCATCGGATCGTTAGATTGCATAGCATTAGATTATCGCTACTAAGTGTTTCCGCTCATAGTTGCTGAGAGCTTCCGTTCATAGCTGCTGAGAGCTTCCGACGCCTCTCGTGGTGAAATATGAGGTGGTCATGATCTGAGTCGTTGCGTACGCATGAGTGAGTAGTTCCGGGGTCGTTAAAGCCATTGGATTAGGATTATCGGTGCCCTGCACACTTCCGGGAGCAGTGTTGCCGCGGCCAGATTTTACAGCGTACCAGGATCGCATCCAAATCGTACCAGATTGGCTGTTTCTGGCTGCGTACCGTACCAGATCGTAGTAGGTCAACTTGTTATTAATTCAGTACTTTAAAAATAACCAAAATTTCGTTATATTCATGCCAGCAAGTAATTTATGGCTCATTTGACCCAGTAGTTCGACCCATTCGTCTCCCCGCGTCGCCCCTTGAAAGGCAGAAAGGCGCTCTTCTGAAGGCTCCCGAATTGTATACCTACCTAAAATTGGCCTTAAAATAGAGAAATCGAAATCCTGCCTTCGAGAGGGGGCATTCCAGTTGAGACTGGCAATTGCACCCAGGATCCTAGCTTGCACCCATAATCCGAAAATTACCACAGTAATATGCTAGTGAAAATGGAAAATTATTTGTTGGGTGTCATTTAGTTTTCCAACGAAATCACACAATTTTGGGACACTGATTCAAACTAGCCTCTTTCCTTAGCCCTTCGACCGTCGACGGAACTCACATTTCACTGTTCACAATACAACTACAATTCCCAACTATTGGTTATTGGTATCTCAGCTTACGAGCCACCGCAAATCGTTGCATTTGGGCCCGATCAATTCCCAACTCATGACACAACCTCTTATATTGCCTTGGACACAACAAATGCCTCAGCCTGCACCTGCAGCCGGCGGCCCGCCCTTGGCAGCCGGCGTGGCGCGCGAATTTTCCACCTGTTTACTTCTGCTAGCACACAACAGGAATAGGTATTAATAATTCCGAATCCGATGCATGACAAATTATGATGAGAAAGTTAGAAACACCATCCCTCCTGACTAAAAGAATTGTTTTTTTACTTATATTGAAAGAAATATTGAAATGCCAAAAAAATGCATTTCGACGAAAAAGTACCAGATTTCGTTTAGGCGTACTTCCGTACCAGAAATGTCGAAAAAGTACCAGATCTGGTACTATAGTACCAGGACGGCAACACTGTCCGGGAGTACGATGTCATGAATGGCCTACCTAACTGAGATTACGTCATTGTCATGAATCATATATTTTGGATTTAGATAATTTTAGCTAAGAGAAAATAAATTAGTGTAACTGTTGTCTAGCAGAACAAGTTATTGAGTATCTGGCACTTATTCCTGAGGGGAAAAGGCCACTTTCCGATTTGCAGCTTACGCTGCCATAAGGATAAACTTGTGCCGTCCCTTGTGATGCACAAAATTCACAGACAGATGCCCGAGTCCGATGCGCCATTGCAGAGAGTCACGATTCAAGCAACGCACTCAAAGGTGGCTGAGCCTGCCATTGTACAAACGCCAGCATTACAATATCATTTGAATTATCTACTTGTCATTTACAGCAAGTGTGGCATTTAACCGTCGCCCGTATTGGTGTTTTTCCAGCCGCGAACGTATATGGGGGGGGGGGGGTCCGTTGGACCCCCCTTGTCGTTTCGCCCTTGATCGAGCTAGAGCTTCGCGGAAAAAACGAGCTTGTTGCCCGTGACGAGAGGAAGCCGATGATACCCAATTCTAAGGTCCTAGGTCATTGGTTGACCTTGCAGATCAGGTCAATGACCCCAAAGGCGGGAAAATCGGGACCTGTTAGAACGTCGTAAAGTGTGGCTGCTATGGGGTTTTTCGGGGTGCTGATCACGAATATCATGTTAGTTTTGATCACAGATGATGTCTTCATGTATTTAGGCCAGGTCGGGTCAGGTCAGGTCAGGTCAACCAGTAAGGATATTCGTAGTAGGTGGCAACCGCCTCTGACAGCTTCGTAACATGTTACGAAGGCATCAAAACTACTTGGTAAATGTTCATATGGTTGCCAAATTCGAATTCAGCTCCAAAAACTGGCCTAGAAACATGTAAAACTCGAAAAAGTGAACCGAGGTCATCAAAGGTCAATGACCTGACCTGACCTTCAGGTGACCTTGACACCCATCCTAATGCATGGGGGCAACATCATATCACATGTTTGAATGCTTGAAACCACGAAAAGACTGCAAACGCGCGGCTAATGCGAGCCGACATACGCCGAATCGCGATTCCAGCCAAACATGGTCTCGAAAAGTAGGCCACAGGTCAAAGGTCATTTGGGTCAGGGTCATTAAATTTTCAGGGTAGGTGTGAAATTGATGAACGCGAGGGTACTGAAAGTTTCGTCGCGATCCGCCGCTTTTTACGCGAGTTATTTGCGAAAAACCATGGGGGGGGTCCGTTCGACCCCCCTATACGGGCGAGGTTTAAAGCGCGCAAGTCCGGAAGTGGGACATTTCCTTCTCCCAAACAACTGACACATCATGTGAAATTGGTCCAGTAGCCACCTGCGTTCAGAACATCATATACCTGACGGCCAATTACGCACGTTATGCGTCGCATATGTCTCAGAAATGTCGTGATGGAGGCGGGTTTTAGCTATGTCGGCTCTGTCTGCTTGCGTACTCGAGCGGTTACCGACTATCAGCTACGTGGTATCAACGTGGTATGAGTGAAAACTATCCAGGAAGATAGGGTAATGTTGGTTGGAAGATCAGGGCTCGATTCCCAGTTACACCAATTCGAATTTCCTTTACTACAACAGCGCGAGTTTGTCCTACTTTGAGCGTTGGGCGTTATTACGAGGCAAAAATTAATTATGAATGTCTCTAAATAGTCCCATTTTGACATCTACTCTCTGTGATCGATAAACTTGCAACGTAGGCAGAAGTAATCAGAAGACAATGGATCCAATCCAGCCAAAATCCACGCATACTTCCTCAGTCTTATTTAAAAATATCCTCCAATTATCATAACGAGATGCTTATTTCCCACCGCCTACCGTTTGCTGTGAAAACTAGAAACTAGCTGAAACTGCTTTATATTTTGGAACATTCATAACACATTTCACGCCGTACGCCAGGCGAGTGTTCAATGTTCATGCTATTTTAGTTTGAACGAAGCTGCGTACTACAAACCCGGGTTTCCTTTTATTAAAGGGTAGTTTATCAAATGGCAGTATAAAATGTCAGAAGAGGCTGATATTTCCGTAATAATTCATGGTTTAATAGGAGCGAAATGTGGCGTAATGTGCGCATGATATGGAGACCGAGTATTAAATCGATAGGCGGAAATTAACATCAAACATATTCCTTTAGATAGATAGGTTTTGTGGTTCGTATATTTCATCTTTCTGTGTAAACGCATAAATAGAGATAAATATTGCTTTTCGACTTTCATACGAACAAAAAAGTCGCTGAGTGACATGCTCAAGACAAAAGAAAAAAGCAAAGAATGCACGCCAAACGTTGACACAATCAATATCTACATGAATATGGTACAGACTAAGCTCCCCACAATATATGTCGCTTCAGCGGAATGCAAGGCTGAAAACATGATTTAACATATGTAATATAATGCATGAAAATTGCGCACTTCAACTGTAAATGTATCCAGATAAACGGAATATAACAAAAGTAAAAACATATCTTTGTTGCAGTTCCAGACAGCATAATCGCTGCCTGCTTTGAAATATGCTTGGAGAACACTGACGTATCTTTGATATGGGCAGACCGTCACAAAAATGCATTATTAAACGGTAAAATGTATTTGGAAATACCATCCTTGTGGTATGTATTTGTACCCGACAGTCGAGACAGCGAGTGACGAGAGAGAGAGAGAGAGAGAGAGAGAGAGAGAGAGAGAGAGAGAGAGAGAGAGAGAGAGAGAGAGAGAGAGAGAGAGAGAGAGAGAGAGAGAGAGAGAGAGAGAGAGAGAGAGAGAGAGAGAGAGAGAGAGAGAGAGAGAGAGAGAGAGAGAGAGAGAGAGAGAGAGAGAGAAAGAGAGAGAGAGAGAGAGAGAGAGAGAGAGAGAGAGAGAGAGAGAGAGAGAGAGAGAGAGAGAGAGAGAGAGGGTTTAGCAGAGATATGTAAAGAAATCAAAACTGATATATTCACATGCAAAAATAAAAGTATAAACAGTAGACGATTTTTAACTACATGATGCAGTGAAAAATCGTCAAACAAACAAGACCATGGAGACAGACCAAACAGACACTCTGTGAAGTATATAATTGCAGATAAAATTGCACGGCATTGCACACCACAACAATCTACACCACACTGAACCCGACCAAATTAAACCATTACGATCAACCAGGGACCAATTGGCCAGACCACATTTAATCCGACTACCAGACAATGAACCAGACCGTACTGAAGCTGGCCATACTGAAGCAGACCATACTAAACCAGACCATACCAGACCATAGTCATACTGAACCAGACATTGTATAACCAGACCCAAACATAGTGAATCCGACTGGGTTTAAAATTAAAACCAGACCAGCCAACAACGTAGAATCTCAGCACGAGCCACACCGGTAGACCACTTCAGTACTCTGAACACTTCTTGACCAAATTTAGTCTCTGGACCCGGGATCATAATACACAATCAATACGTTATGGCGACTCGAAGTGGCATCTGAATACTTCAGCTGACATATGCCACCCGTTTGGCCGCTCGGAGCTTTTACCAGCGTCGCGTTTGCATATAGAACAGATCTTGGAGACACGTGTCTACTCTGGACACTGGACGACAATGCAGTCGAAGGATTGTAGAAATCCATAAGTGCTCTATGTTTCTGCCATCATTACAGAATGGCCCTCACGTGTAAGGCCTGTTTCCTCACCGGCATCGAATTACCATGAGCATTCTATTACCCTATTCTTCTAATCGTTATGCCCATATCATTTAACACAATCTTACCATTTTCACCGTGCTTTTTTTCTAGTTTTTTTTTTTCTACAATGGTTCCACCGAACTATAGAACACGGCAGCGTCATTGAGTGCCTAGCCGAGTTGTGGGGTGTCTTAGCAAAGAAAAAAAAAACGTGCAGCATCCATCAGCATCAAGCAGGCCACATATTTACAAAATCCACCACATCCCCAACATCAATGACAATTTTGCAGAAGCATTCCCATTCACCACACTAACGCTTTTCAGCAAATTCCAGTGGCTCAATACATAAACAATTCCATGATTCCACCAGCTTCAGCTTCTACTTACCGTTGAGGACAACCGTGGGCTTCCGGCATCTGAAGAGTCTGCTGAAACCCTTGCGAAAGGCGTTGTTAAACCCTCCGTAAAGCACGGGGTTCCACAGGGAGTTACTGTACGCCAGGAAGTATGCGAAGAACTCCACGTGAGAGAACCATTCGGGGAGCTGTCGGGAAAAAGATAAAAAACCCTGTCATACGAGAGGAGGCGAAGAATTTCACGTGACAAAGCCACTCGGGAGCTTTTGGGAAATAGTGTAAAACACAATATCATACGAGAGGAGACATGAAATTTCACGTGAGAAATCCACCCGGGAGCTGCCGGGAAAGCTCGAGATAACAACACTGTCATTACGAGAGGAGGCGAAAAATTCCACGTGACGAAAACGGGCAGGAGCAAACGGGATTTAATCGATTTTTCAACACATTCTAAAACGATAAATGTACAAACCTTTGCCCTGGTTGTTGCAAGGCTCTATGACGTAATTATTGTCAATGCTTCGGGAGGTTACGCGAAATTTTGAATTCCCTATAGCATGAAAGATCATCCACTGATCAGTAGATCTAACTTCCCATGACTACAGTGTCATGAAAACAAAACTATCTGTCTCCTCTCACGCTAAATCAACCTCCATAGCGTGCCTTTTTCTTCCTAGCATCCTCGCCCAAGCGCAGAAAACCATATCCCTACCGCTCATCAACACTTGATCAACCATATAACCACCCATCACTGGCCCCATATTACGCCTCAGGACACAACCCCCACCCCACCCCACGGCCCACACCCACCCCTTTGGTATCACTCTACTCCGACAATACCCCTTCCCCATGGGGGAGGGCTAGCGGCCAAAGCTCGTGATTGACGAACTCGAACAGCCTCGGCGGCAGACGCTATTGGCTTGGATTAGATTGAATCGATACAACGATAAATCATGATATTCTTTTAGAGGAGTTATGTTCGTTTCATTTATTTTAAACTACTTTGAGTTATAGGGCGTGGTGGTGCTATTCTATAAATGTGCTGGCTGTAAGGGGTGGGTCATTTTAGCAGCTGTGGACACTCTTCGCGGGAGAAAGAAAATAATGGCCAAGGAAGTCCAGTGAGGTAGCATGAAATGGTCCCAGCAACAGGAAGGGGCTGTTGAGTGTTGAGTGCTCGGCATTAATGATAGCAACGTTAGGTTGCTAAAAAGGTGGCGTCTACTCGCTTCGTATAGTTGCTAAGTCCGTGGATAAAAAAGAATAGCGTGAATGCTACGAATTGAACTAAAAAACGCTTAGTTAGTTGTATTTTACATTCTTGAACAAAACATTTTGTGTCATTAAATGTTATCTTTGAAATCCCAAGATGGTTAATCATAATAAACGGCGCTTTTCATTACAAATGCAATTGCTGACAAGCATGTACCACCAACAAAGCAAGATGATCATTCGCTGCCGTCACTTTCTCGGGGAAGCATGACGCTCTCACTTACTCTGTCGTATTTGTTGAGCACGCCGAAGAGAATAATGACCTGGAGTGGTGCCCAGCAGACGACGAACACCATCACCACCATCACCACCATCTTCACCACCTGTGGAGAGGAGGAAAATCACCATCAGCACCAGGCTATGACTACCACCTGGAGAGAGGAACAAATCACCATCAAAACAGTCGATGAAAATGATTACCAGCATAACCAAGCTTCAGAGAAACACTATTGATGTCGCATACATCAGAAAAATACCATCACCATCTTCACCACCTGGAAGGAAGAAAAAGTCACCATTAAAAAAGGTTACGAACGCAATCATCAAAATAGCTCCTAAAACTTCAGAGAAGCACTGGTGTCATTGGCTGAAAACATCAGACAAATATTATGAGCACTATCTCCACCACATGCAAATAGGAATAAAACGAGGAATAAAAGGAATAAAACACTAGGAATAAAACACAATCAACACAGCTGCTTATCATTGTTAACAAGTATTTACCACTTGCAAACAATACACACACAGTAAAGCCCTTGTGCGAGTTGTGCGTAAAATAAAATAAAACGTATCGTAGAGCCATGGCGTTCCTATTTCTATCCAGTGGACCATTTTCCTAGTAAAACACTTCTCTTTTCCAGAAAGTCTAGCTATTTGAAAACCAGCGAGACGCTCAAAGCCATCGATTCAATAAATGGCAGCCGATTGTTTGTGCTCAGATTCTCATAAAGCGCTATCGAACGTTTCAAGAGAGGCGGTTCCATGAGGGCGTAGCATGAGGGCGTATCATGCGGGCATATCGGGGGAATATCATGAGGGTGGTATCGAGTGTGTTACAAGTGGGGAGTCAGCTTTCAGCAACTCAGGGGAAGCGTCATTAAATGTCTCATGGTGTGACTTTAAATGTCTCACAGTGCGTAGTTAAGTGTCCTACACGACCGCAAATAAAGTCTCTTATGGTCTTGGGGCTGCGATATTGTCATCTCGCAATGCATGCTTTTCTTCTCGACCAGCAGACAAGAAAGACAAAAAAGCCAATAGCAAGAGGAACGGGCCTGATAATTTTGCAAACATACGTTTTAGAGCATTTATTTTCATTGAACATCGCGAAAGACAAAAACCTTTATTGATTTTTCCTTTCACATCAAAATGGTACAGAAAAAAAACGTTTAATGGATGCATATAGAAAATAAATGGAAAAAAAAATTAATCAACAAGATCCTTGTCCTGAGCTGACATATCAATAGATATCTCCATCCGAGCCGGAGGTGATCCGGCAAAGAAGCACTCGCTTCCATGAAGCACGTTCTCTCAGAGATCTAACGCAAATAGCCTGTAGCAACATGGCGTTCCCATTACCGGATCTCTCGCTATATCCGTGGAACAAACACAGTGTCTGAGACGTGCGCTGAGAGAAACCATGTGGATGTTCAGCGTTACTTTTTGCGTGATGGTGCAAACAAGAACAGCGCTGAGTGTGTTCTCTAATAAGTGCAGTGACGGTGCATTGATAAAAAACATGGGAAGACAATCTCTATAAAAACTTAGACGTGCTCACTGGCTACGGTTACAGGGGATAAGAAAAATGCAGATAAAACGTTCCTAATAAGAAATAACTTCCTGCAAAAGGTGCGAACTTGCGCAAACAATCCAAACAAGCCAACACGCAACCCAAACAAGCCAACATGCATGTGCACTGCAAACTCCTTTAGCCTCTCCAATGATCTACCCCCCTGTCCATTTTTAATAAACCACCTTATATAATCCACGCGGCACTGCATGTTATGCCGAGTTCCTGAAATCGCAATAACCATTAATCACTTATCTTGCCATTCCGCACGGGGTTTAATGTATTCTGAACCATAAACGATGTTTAATATCGGCAGTTTTCTGCGAAAGTACTCCCATTGGAGCGGCATTTGGAGACCAGCATTCCGATGACTTGATAAATGGAATTGAGACTTTGAGTGAACATTAAAACGGTAAATATTGTGCTTATTTGTTCTTAAAAGTCGCAACATGTCCAAGGTTCATTTTGATGAAAAACTTCAGTAAATTGACATAATTGACATTAATAAATAGTTATTTATATATAAACACCAGAGCGACAGTTACCTTTTCATGCATTTAAAGGCTGTATATCGTCGCTCATTTATTTGCTATTTTAGCGATTACATCAATCGATCCTACAATTTTATAGCCAAGCTAAGGGCTTGAGCCTACTCACTGACTCAGCCTACTAACCACACCACCATAGCTAGCGATTCATAAGCAAGTTATTCTGTGCTCTGAGAGGTAGCCAGAGAAAACGAAACAACAAATGGCAGACATCAAGGTCGACGACTGATCTGAATAACATAAACGCTATAGATCAATAACAGCCGAATCTTTAAATTACGTTTTATTAGCTCAGGTGGCTTCGGCAGTTCAAGAGTCACGTGAACCATGCGACTCAAGAAGGCTCAAATTAAAAAGAAGCTCAGCATAAAGGGTCAAGTGGCATATCGATTATAAAACTGGAGAGCAGAGATGGACCAAAAAGCTACCTTTGTTACACTTAGATAAAACTAAACATATTATTTCTCATTCAATATTTTTTTCTTAAAGGAAAAGAAAGAAGTGCCCATTGAGATACCTTTCTACCCACAACACTCTAGGGAAAATGCCACCTGTCCATTTCGGTAAATAATAGGCTGCTCTCGGCTATGACAGGAATATAAATAGGCGGTCGCGCGAAACGTCCTGGAATGGCCACTGCACACGCACCTTAGTCAAACAAAGGTGATATAGCAAACGACATAATTAGGTGACAGAAAAAGAAATAAAAAGGAATACTAATTTACGCAAATTTATGTTAACCATGGCAATCCAGCTGGATAAGTAACACATGCTCGGAAGCGAAAATACATTCAAGAATGGAAATATAACCAATGCAAATTTGAAACGCGCAATGCATTGCGAAAATTTTCTCCACGGAGAACCACCAGGGTAACTGGAACATGAATCTTACGGAATATGCATGTCACGTTTTGTAAGTATGCTGTTAAAATAATCATGAAGCTAAATCAAATTATCAACACTTTCTCAACAGGCACCTCTAGCTACTCATTAGTAGGCAAACTTTGGTTAATTTACATATCATAACTGGGTGACACGTAATTTCCATTTGTTGTGGTATACGGGTGAAGAGCACACACATACTGTCTGCTCTTCCGCGCTATTTCTACAACCGAAACCTGACCGCGTTTTGATACCAGTATTCCATAAGTCCATTTTGGAATTAAATTGAATTGTGATCAATGTAGGGTTGTTCAAAACGTCGTGTGCTCTGTACACAGCAGACAACCGAATCTGGACAAACAGCTGACTCTATGTAGGCAACTGAACGCACAGATCAATGGGATAAACACCAGGTGGCGTCACGAGAAATTACGCGCATGCCGGCTGACGTCATGGTGTGAACACTGGCGGGAGTTGAAAAAAGCATTATGAAATCAGTAGGCGGAACTTTGGTCAAGCGTACCCATTTTCGGGAACGCATTTTCGTTCCCATGTTTGGGAACGATAAACCCAAATATGGGAACGCCATGTAGGCATTATTTAAAACAAGAAAAAGAACCGTTAAATGACGTCCAAAAAATATAAAACGATCGTGAACCGCCTGATATTTGTCTCAATATTGTTGGGAAATAGTTTGATATTGTAAGGCCCATCGTAGTTTCAAATCGTTCCCCTATTTCTAAAGCAGTCCATCATCCGGGCCGCGAGCCCAAATTTGGGAACGCTCTCGTACACTGGCGCTGCAAGCGTTCCTTATTATGGGAACGGCGTACCCAAAATTGGGAACGATTTCACCGACGCCTTTCAGGGGCTCTTTTCATTAACAAGCATCACGTCCAACGCCGCAAATTATTGTTAACGCAACAATCATCAGATGACCTTTCCGGCAAGACCGTCGCATGTTTCGCCCGGTCTTCTGCGCTTTTATTCCCGTCGATCTCGCAGCGGGCACGCCCCCCTCTGCAGGATTATGTAATTCACAACGCTCAGCGATGTTCAACAAGGTCTTCCATACCTATATCCACCGTCCGCGCCGAGGGTGGAGACAAGTCAAGCACCTGTCTGTTTATCACCGATAGTTGACGAGCACAAGGAAGTATCCAAAAATGGGAACGCTGAATATGTTACACCCTCAAAACACCTAGTCCCAATGAAAATCTAGTTTTTTCCTTTCTTAATGAGTGTAAGTGGCAAAAGCCCTGGTAGGATGGGCACGATGAATGATCGAAATCAGCATAAAAATTATAAATAAGCCACACAGAGCGACCTATATAAGAGAAATTCCCCCAAAACGATCATGCTTAGAAACACGGAAGACAAAAACCACTCTCATGACGCTCCTTATAAAACAACGCTAAACAGCTAGCATCCAAATAAAATATGTCTTTCCGGGCTGATAAACTACAGCTGAATAATTTTAAACCACTGAAACTGAGTTTACAACAGTAGTTCGGTAAAATCACTGACGTTCCACGCGGTCGTGCGCCCCGACACCAAAAGTCAACAATATTACCTCGGGACTGTCCGCGTGTTCGCTTGCATATGTCAGCATCTGGTGTCGCTAGTATGAAACTTCATAACCAGGCGAAAATTATTATACTTGACCTCAAACTAAAACACGCTTCATTTTCCTTAAAATTGCAGGCTAAATGTAGTATAACCCATGTTTTCACCATTCAGTCATTTCAAAAAATCATTAAAAATATCATTCGACGGTCAATTTCCTTGTTGAACGGTCAGATTAAAGATAATTTTATAGAGACTTCGTATATACTTAAATTAGCGTGCACTTTTTTGAGACGTGATGCACTAATGAGTTTTAGTGGGCGAACGGCCGAAAAACTACTTTCCGTTCTCATAAATGGGAACGCCCGTTCCCATATTTAGGAACTCCGTTCCCAAAAATGGGAACGTTCCTATATTTGGGTACTCATGACCATAGTTCCACCTACTGAAATAGTATTTGGCATATTTTTTTTTCATTTAAGTGTTCCCGAATCTAACGAAAAAATCCAAAATAATATATTTCTTCAAGAGGCTTCCA